CCTCCCTTATGTGTTTCACCTTCTTCTTTGCCTTCAGAAAAACTTCTACAGATTTAGCCCAAGGTACATAATTCTCTCCATTCAGTTTAATGGAGGTCATTTGAACATTYARGTAGTYARTAGGTATCATCACATTAGATTTGCTATCACTGCTATCTCCCATTGCTAAATTTTGTTATTGCTGAATTTGGCACACTGCACACTAGACCACACCACACACTGATCACACTGGTTTCAGCACTTGCTATTGCTGAGGATTGCACTCTTTACACCACAAACCCTGCCCCACGACTGTTTGAAATCTCACCACACTATATGAGGACCACTCTCCCTTCGAATCACACTAAAAACAGCATAAACCCTAGCACACTACAGTCTGAAATCCCACCATACGATCTGAAACATACTTCTTATTTGATTCATAACAAAAAAATGCATAGAAATCTCTTACCTCATCACCCGAAAATCAAACCACACAAAAATCAGACCACGCAAGACACCCACTACACCACACAAATCAACCCTTTTCTCTTCATCGATTAGGGGAGGGCTTCTTAGAAACCACAACAACCGACCACGGACAACACAACTGGAGGCATAGAGACCTCCAAGGGAAGAGGGCAACCACTCCTTTTCAGCCTTTTCTCTTATCTCCAACCGATGACAAAGAAACCAAGAGAAAACCCTAGACTGGGTGCGTAGAAAACAGAAATCTGGGCAGATCCGAGTTGCTTAGTTGTGCTTTGATACCATATTATGATTCAGCCTGCTCTTGAGTTCTGTTAGTCTGGTAACAGCCAAGAAGAGAGAAGAAAGAAGAAAGAAAGAAGAAAGAGAGAGAGAGGAGAGAATAAAAGTCTGGTTCGAATGAGAGAAAAAAAAAATTACCTCTCCCATTCGACCAGATATGTTTTATATTACTAACATAATGGAAAAGACACATGTGCCCCTACTTAAGTGAGGGACACTAGTTCTAACATAATATTACACATCAGCAACCTCAACATAAGTATAAAGACAGAAATACCCCTACATACTCGACACTAACAGAGTACTTTGAAAAGCATCTACAACTCTTCCTTGAAGGAGCAATTCATCAGAGCACATGTTCCCAAACTCCGCAACAGAATGGTGTAGCAGAGAAAAAATAGACATCTGGTTGAAGTTGCTAGAGGGTTACTTTTCTAGATGCATGCACCCACTCGTTTATGGGGAGATGCAGTTGAAACAATAGTGTATCTCATCAATAGCCTTCATAGACTCTTTACCTTTTGTCTGCTCATCAACTTCGTTTCCCTAATGATCCTATTTTTTGTCTTCCTCTTAAGAGTCTTTGGTTGTAGTTGCTTTGTTCATGATTTGAGTTCCTCTTGCCTTAAACTTGATCATAAGTCTATCAAGTGTGTTTTTCTAAGTTATTCTGTAGTCCAAAAGGGTACAAGTGCTTTGGTCCTCACTCTAGCTGATGGTATGTGTCTAAGGATGCTACATTTCTTGAGTCTACTTTTTTTTTTTAGTCACCTTGTCCTTCTCTTTAGGGGGAGAGTGTCAATGAAGATTGGACTCCATTTTGTCTTCTTGTTCTTGCCTCTGTGGAAATTTCTGGTTCATCTTCTTCTCTTCCCACTTGCAGCGATGGTATTTCTGCTCCTCCTCCTCCTCCTTGCTCCTCAACAACAGTCCTGGAAACAATGGTTCATAAGGCGCAAAAAGAAGGTTACTCGTGAGGCCGATTGTCCACAGCAATCTAATCACCCGACTCCAGGTAATTCTAAAAGCAACCTTGAACCTGAGCTTCTTATTCTCACTTTTATTAAGCCTTATATCTTACAATTTGATCTTGACCTCCCGATTGCAGTTTAAAAAGGAAAAAAGGAAATGTACAGCCTATCCCATCACTAACTATGTTTCTTATGATGCCCTTTCACCTTCCTACTATGTGTATGTTTCTGTCATTTCCTTTGTCTTTATTCCTCATAATGTTACAGATGTAGTGCAGTCCCCTCAATGGAAGGATGCTATGAACCACGAGATGGAGAACCTCATAAAGAACCAAACCTAGGAGATTGTTCCTCTTCCTAAGGGTAAAGTTCTAGTGGGTTGCAAGTGGGTGTATATAGTTAAACATTGGGTGGATGGCTCAATTAAAAGATAAAAAGCTAGGTTAGTGGCAAAAGGATACACCCAAACATATGGGATTTGACTATCAGGAGACCTTTGCACCTGTGGCCAAAATGAAATCTATTTAAGTGATTATGTCTCTTGGTGCTCACTATTCATGGCCTCTATACTAGATAGATGTGAAGAACGCCTTCCTCAATGGAGATCTTCAAGAGGAGGTCTACATGGATCCCCCCCCCTCCCCCTCCCCCTCCC